GCGGCGACTCTGGAAGGATGGGAGGGCAAATATTTATCATGGGTAGGGAGGCTGGCCGCAATAAAGATGATGCTGCTCCTGAAATTCCAGTATCTCTTACGCACGCTACCCATAAAACAACCAAAAACCTACCTTAAAAAGTTACAGAGTCTCCTTGTACGATTTATATGGGCAAAGAAGAAACCAAGGGTGGCAACCTTGGTTCTACAAAGACCGGTCGAAAGGGGAGGGTTGGGGCTACCAAACACCCACACGTTCTATAAAGCTGCACACATAGCAGCAATTAAAGCATCTACGGTAGAAGGGGAAACCCCACAATGGACAAAAATAGAAGCCCACTGGGCAGGAGGGCACGGCCTACACAACCTATTCTGGCTACAAAGACACCTACGCCCCACACACATCGACCCCATCAACAACCCTGACAATTTGGGATGAGACAAAAGATGGGGATCGGAAAAGTATACCAGGGAACTCCCCGATCTCCACGATAGCTGTGGGAATTCCAACATTTGAACACACACAATGGAGAGACGGAGGGTGCACCACAATCACACACCTCTACAAAGAAGGACAGTTAATGCCCTTTCCAGAACTCCAAGAGCTATACAACCTCCCAAATAGAACCATATTCCCATATTTACAATTGAAATCCTTTCTCAAGGGAATGAAAGTACAAAACATAACACAGCAGCAAGGGTGTAAGTTAGAGCAAATATGCCTCTCACCAAAACCAGCCAAAAGCACACTATCTGCACTATACAAGGAGCTACAACACGAGGTACCGGAAGCTGTTATGCCATTCCAAGAGGCGTGGAATAGGGAACTGGGTTACACCCTGGCACCAGAAAAATGGGAGAGGGCTTTTAGAATCCACAAGGGCAACTCATAGTGCTCCTCACACTTAGAAACTATAAGAAAACTACAATACAGGTGGTATATGGTACCAGAGAGGCTATCAAAAATCTATCCAAACTCACCTAACAGATGTTGGAGGTGTGGGGCTCAAGGAGGGACGATGGGACACATATGGTGGTCATGCGAGAAACTAACACCATTCTGGGTAATGCTGGAAAAAGAGACAGGGAAGTTGGTAGGCAAGCAGTGGCCACTCAACCTAGAACAGTGCGTGCTCTTTATGATTCCCACAACACTAGACAAAATAGAGGAACGGCTGCTTTTCCACATGCTAATTTCTGCAGTAACACTCTTAGCCAGAGCATGGAAATCAACCCGGGTACCGAACAGAGAAACATTATTAAACCAAGCAGATACCAATTGGAAGTACGAACTAATGGCTTCCAAACACTTAACACCACAGAAACACATTAAACAAGCGGGGAAAAGATGGATGGAATATAGAGAAGGGGAAGAGGGGAACCAGAGTCCAGAAGCACCAAAGGAGACCAATACTAGAATAATACAGGATGGGGGAAACCAGTAAAAGTTTAACAGAGGGCTACTAAAGCCAACACATCACAGAGCTAGACAAGAGCTCAGAACCAATAAGCAGTTATAAAGGAGAGCCAGACGTGAAACGTCACAAGCAGATGCAGAGGCCAGACTCACACACCCATTAACCAAAAACAGCGGATAAACACGGAGGGAGACAGCCTTAAAGTGATGAGTATTGCCGGTTGACAATAGAAAGGAAAACAAAAATGGTCATTGTGTAACACCAATGTTATCTAATGTTCCTGCACTACCCCCCTTCTTTTCTGTACCCTGGTGAGCAGGTGCCGCAAATGAACATGACAAACAAAACAATAAACGTATTTATCAAATTGAAAAAAAAATATATATATATACCGTATTTATCGGCGTATAACACGCACCGGCGTATAACACGCACCTCATTTTAAGAAGGAAATTTCAGGGAAAAAAAACTTAAAGGACCACTATAGTGCCAGGAAAACGAGTATGTTTTCCTGGCACTATAGTGGTCCTTTAAGTTTTTTCCCCCTGAAATTTCCTTCTTAAAATGAGGTGCGTGTTATACACCCTCAGGGACCCCCTCCCGCCGGGCTCTGGAGAGAGGAAGGGGTTAAACACTTACCTTTCTCCAGCGCCGGGCGGGGAGCTGTACTCCTCCTCTCCTCCTTGCTCGCGACGTCATCGGCTGAATGCACAGCCGCGCGCGCATTCAGCCGGTCGCATAGGAAAGCATTTACAATGCTTTCCTATGGACGCTTGCGTGCTCTCACTGTGATTTTCACAGTGAGAAGCACGCAAGCGCCTCTAGCGGCTGTCAATGAGACAGCCACTAGAGGCTCTGGAGGCTGGATTAACCCTCAGTATAAACATAGCAGTTTCTCTGAAACTGCTATGTTTATAAAAAAAGGGTTAATCCTAGAGGGACCTGGCACCCAGACCACTTCATTAAGCTGAAGTGGTCTGGGTGACTAGAGTGGTCCTTTCAATTTCAAATAAAGAACTTCTTACCCCCCTTTCTTACTCCCCCCTCCCCCTCTTACCCCCTTCTTACTCCCCCTCTTCTTACCCCCCTTTCTTACTTCCCTCCCCCTCTTACCCCCTCTTACCCCTTTCTTACTCCCCCCTCTTACCCCCTCTTCTACCCCCTTCTACCCTCCCTCTTGTTACCACCCTCCCTTTGTTAGCCCCCTCCCCTCTTTTTACTCTCCCTCCCCTCTTACTCCCCACTCCCCCTTCTTACTCCCCCCTCCCCTGAAGCGTGGCCGAGCCGCTCTGCAGTCCGCGGTGGCCGGCCGGCCGGAGTGATAGGAAGGTGCACGCTCAGTGTGCACCTTCCTGTCAGTCCGACCGGGTACAGGAAACAGAAACTCCTGTTCCGCTATTACACTAATTTGTATTTTTTTTTACACTTTTTTCTTTATATCATTTTAGTTGTTGAAATCAATTTTAGCTATGCTATAAATGTATATGCCGTTCTTATTGATGGATTCATTCTCTTTTATTTTAAAAATAATAGTTCATATTTCTTTACCATCTAATTAAACAACTGCACCTTAATTTTTGGAGTAAAAACCAAGCATTTCTGCATTCTTTAGAATTTAAATGTATTTTGTTGTTTTGATTAAAGAGTACACTAGCTTGAATATTTTAATTGAATAGAAGAACCATAATATGCATGTAATCAGCCTCCTATCCTGTAATTTCAGAATTTTTTTCTTCAGTATTTCTGACACTGTAATTTTGTTTTAATTATTATTATTTGTCGCTTATGCAGTCAACCTATTTTATATATTTTTGTAAGGCAATTCACTTACTTGCTCCTAAATTGATTTAGAACATGCAGTTTAATTGTTTTTGTAAATAAAAGCTTTTTTTTGTACAATATACATTATTTTTAGTTTGGTGTAATCCATCCATCCATTCTATTGTATACTACGTTGGTAACATTTGTGACCCATAATCTCATTTTATTCACTATTAGCCATATTTTAAAAAAATGTGGCAGATTATTAAATATGTAACTCTTAATGTGCCAACAAAAATCATCTATATATCTTTAGTATTTCTGAAAATAAATAATACATAAAATGATTACAAAATCTTGATGGAATTCAAGATTCATTCAAGATACATATTTAGTGCTCAATATAAATCTTGTCCGAGGAGGGACACTTTTTGTTACAGATTATCATAACTTGATTGTCAGAATTTAGTTATTTATTCTTATGGGAATGAGTAAGTACTGTAAGCTAAACTCCAAGTACAGAAGCCAGAAGTTGCAACAACGTTCCAAACATCAGTGCTTTTGGCAAATAGAAGAAAATAAGTATTTTAAGAATAAATAATATATCTCTTTTTAGGTCACATTTTTTTCTTTCTGTGCTTGTATTTCACAAACCGCATAATATATCATTTTAATCTGTATATAAGTTCTAGCACATAAGTCAAGGTTTATCATTTGCACCCCTCCTGCTAATCCTTTGGCAGGATGGGGTATAATTCCCATCACTCCAGTGGAGGCCATTCCCTGGTGGTCTGATTGAGAGCATTTCTTGCTGGTCAGTGGGGGACAATTATGGTGTGCTTCTCTATTGGGTGCAGATCACTTTAGGAGTTCCCTTGTGGTCCTGCACTCTGTAAGTTATTCATAGAGAAGACACATAAAGTCTACTGCACCCAATAGTAGCGTAGATCACAACAGTCCCTTGCAGTGAGGGGCACAGGGCTAAGCAGGGCACTCAAAAGGTTTTAGGAAGCCAGAGCTGGAACTTCAGAAGCCACCTATTGTGGCTTATGGGTCATTCAGCTCTAGTAGGGTATATAATTCTCACATTTAGCAAATCCCTATAAAATAAACTCTGAAAATGTTTATCATGCCTACACACATGCACACACAATATAGTAGACATGTGCATTCGTTTTAGGATGAATTTGATTTTGTCCAAATTTTCTGACTTTCGTATTCGTTTACTGTAACAGAAACAAATGTCCTACGTACGAATTGGATACGAAATGAAAAGGCAAATGCCGAATGCATTACCTTTTCGTTTCAGTTCGTTTAGTTTATTACAAGGAGGGAGCTACCGACTTGCGGCTCCCTCCTTGTAATATGTGAAAATAGAAACTGCAGGGAGTAGTGCTCCCAGCCACTTCCTAACTCCCCCCAAGCCACCCGTCATTCTATTAAAATCTCCTGAATGCCCCAGCTCGCTATGACATGAGTAGCGGCATGTCTACTAAACAGTGAGCACCAGTGGCTGCTCACTGTTAAAAAACAAACAAAAAAAGCCCCCCCACTCCCCAAATAAAATAAAGGGGGACCTAGCACAGGTCTCCTATGGTGGGGCATCTTCTAAAATAATTAACAGGATGTCCTCCCCTAGCCCCCACCCATGTCCTGCCGAACTGGCGCGGTCACAATGCTGAGCGAGCACCTGGAGCCCTGCTATCCCCCCCTTTGGACCGGCGGGGGTTATCCCGGTCCCCACCCTCACCACTCCTAAACTCCATCGGAGAACCGCAGCAGAGCCGCAACGACCGGCGAGCAAGGTGGAACACCACCTAAGATGGCGGACGACACGCGCCTCCAGACTTCTAGAGGGGAGATGTCTGACACACACCGGCGTCTAGAGGCTATCTTCGATGCCTTCTGGAGGAAGCTGGAGAGCAGGCTGACACCCACGGAGACCACCGAGGCACCTCCTGAAACATCCCACTGCTCCTCGAAATGCCCTGCTGCACACACCATGAGCCCGACTAACCGGAGGCAACGAAGGCGGCCTAGACGATGCATGGCAGTAAATACTGCCGGCCTGCAAGCCCGGAAACCCTACACCTCCAGCACCATGCAGAATGACACACACGGGGTCGGAGAAAGGAGTGGAAAGCGACTGATGCACGTAAATATGCAGAGATCTCCCCTGGCAGAGAGCCTAAGAAACCAAGCAATCTGGGACACTAAAATCCCTACGATGGGGATAGGATAACCAACAAGATAGGCCTCTGTCCCCAGCTCCTGTCTAGCCAGGGGTACTCCTCGCCTGCCCTACATGTGTTAATTACTAGTGTGGACATTTACCCTCAATCAACTCCGACACGCTCGGAGTGTAATGCAACTCATTAAGCTACCATTCTCACATGGTGTTATGTGTATTGGGGAGGTCTGGGGTGGTATATTTTATTGTGTCCCTTACTTTAACTCGACTCTGTACATTATGTACCTATCTTTTATCAGCAAGAGGATATGCCACATGCCATGTTTGTTACCTATTTTACTCTTACTCCTCTTATGTTTAAACAATGTCATTGCCTAGCGATTACCCTATTTGTTACTTATGCTAAGCAGCTCGAGGATTGCCGTTGGGGTACCTCAAGCCAGTTTGTACTCATCATTTGCACTGCAAAAATAAATAAATAAATAAATAAATAAATTAATTAATTAATTTAAAAAAAAAGGGGCAGGGAGAGAGCAGAAGGAGAAAAACCATTTTCAAAGTGCATAAAAATCCATAATTGTCCCATTGCAACTGTTAAAATAAAAAAAAGAACCTGAGCGCAAAAATCTCTGCAAAAAAAGAAAAAGAAATAAAACATTAAAAAAGTGCATAAAAAAAACAAATAGAATAATATATAAATAAGTAAAACCAGAGATTTGAGAATGATAAAAAAAAGGGAAATATAATACCATACCATAAAAACACTTATAATATCAGCACAAGCTAAAAACTAGAAATAGTAGAAATGGAGAAAAAGAAAATGGCTCCTAATAATATATGTGTAATTAATTGTGATATCATAATATATATGAAGGGGAGAAAAAAATAAAAAAGGGAGAAGCCAAAAGGGCATCCGATTCAAGAAACGAGAAAACTTGTTGTTTGATATTTTATGATATTGTGAATATCAGATTCACAATTAATACTATATGGAATCTGATGTTAACCTTTAATTTCCAAAAGGCTTCCCTCTTATTTAAAATATCACTTCCTCTCTTTGGGGTGAAACATCTTTGGATCCCCTGAAAAGAAAAATAGGCAAAATCTCCTTCACCGCATGACTTAAAATGATGGCTAACAGGAGAATTGATATTCTTCTTATTGATATCCAAAATGTGTTCTCTAATGCGTTCACTAAGTTCACCTCAGGTCTGACCCACATATTGAATTTTACATCTAAGACATGTAATAAGATAAATTACATGAATTGTCCTAAAATTAATAAAGTGGAGGATCTCATAAACCTTATTATTGACAGAAGAACAGAAAATAGAGGCCATTGTAAGAAAATTGCAATATTTGCATCTACCTCCACATCTGAACATTCCATTACAATGATACCATGTACCACACACAATATCCACAATTAAATAAAAAATGCCTTTCATTGGAACAATGTAGTTGCTATGCAGCTCGTCAAGCTCTCATATGGAGCCAAATTCTCATTGCTACATCAAACATACAAACACTACATCAAACACTCTGCATAATTCAACTGGAACCGAATCAAATCTGTAACACAATTTAAGGAGATAGGATCAGAAAAAGGAGTCAGATGGACAGCACCAGGCAAACTGCAAAATAGACCCAGTTGTTTGGATTTTAATATTTTATGTTAATGAAGTCCAGTGCATCATGCATATAGTAAAAAAAAAAAAATACCCATGATTTTTTTTACCAGTACACAATTCTTACTGCTCTGAGATTTTGTGTGTTAAATGATTTGCATAAAAACCCCAGGTGCACAAAAATGAAGTGTGTTTGTTTGCTTCGGTTAAATTTATTTTATCTTATCTGTTTTATTGGAAGGTACCTCTGCAGTCACCCTTTTGCTTTCTCTTGGGGCTTTCAAAGGTATTCAAATCTTTTAAGACTATTATCAAATAGTTATTAGAGATTTTGAAAAGGGGAAACATTATCAATGTATTCACCTCCAAGACCAGAATGCAGGATGAAGCAAAGTCTTTAGAGAGTTTCATTACTGTTGCCTTGATTAGTGCGACTAAAGAAATTAGATTTACATTCTGCAAAATGTATTTAATTTAAAAGGACATGATATAAGGCTTCTAGACTGGTAAAAATATATTTTTCATGGGCAAATTAAAACAAGCAAAATTTACATTCTTTACAGATGTTATCTAGGTTATTTAGATGGGGCCATGTTGTGACATGTGTAAAAGGGTTGTGTTTGAACTATAAACCAACATTCAATAATTGGAAGAAAGGATAAAAGTCTCCAATTTAGCCTGAAACAGCAAGGAGTAAGATTGATCTCGAAACGAATGGCAGATGGGAAGAACTACCAGTTAACAAGAATGAGAAAATACAATATCTGTCACATGAAGGGCGCGAAGAGTTTCTTTTCTCAGCTCAATTCTTTATCATAGGGATATATAAGAGGATAGCTCTCAGAATTTACAGATTAGTGTATTGTTAGGTGAATGTAGAGTAGCCCATTTGTTATCAATTGTATAGACTAAAACTGTTCATGTTTTAAAAAAAAAAAAAAAAACATTCTAATATATATTTTTAAATTTCTTGCATGCCAATCATAGCCTTAGATTTTATTCAATCTTTATGAAATACATATTCCATGCATATCCAACCCCTCGGTTCAGATGTTGTCAATACGCTAAAGTTACAGAAGTAGATAAGTAGCAATGAAGGTGCACTTACCCACAAGGTGCATGATGGTATGCTTTTTTGCTGATATTGTTAAAGTCATTGTAAATTGTCTACGGGATACTAATTATATAAATTTAGATATACTTTGTTGTTTACATAATTCAAGTCCCTCTGAGCAATTGCTAATTTCAAGCGTTACTCCAAGCGCCATGACCACTTCAGTGATTTGAAATGCTTATGGTGTCTGGAGTCTGTATGTGAAGGGTTGCTTAACAGAGTGCCCTATTACCTGAGAACAGAGCTAGGATAATCCTCACATCATAACCACTACAGCGGGCTTTAGTGTTTATAGTGATTGGAGTAACCCTTTAATTTTTGTTTTTAGTGTTTTTAATATTTTGTTATCTTATATATTTTTTTAATATTTTGTTATCTTTTGTATTCTTTTTTAATTTTCTTATTCCCTTTTGGCTGAGTCAGTTTTGGTGGTGTTATACATGTTTTTGCCTTTTTATTTATGAAGTGATTCAATTTCATTTAAAAAAAATCTTTAACATTTGAGTCGTCATTGGAAAAATCTACCCTATGATTTGTCTATAAATGGCCCAGCAGCAACATTAAGTCTCAAATGACGAGGAAGCTTAATGGAAGTAGAGTGTGTCTTAATTCTGAGCACCAAGTATCTGCAATCCAGTGTGTTTCATAAATGGTTGAAAAAACATTTGGTACTAAAGCATCAATGCTGAGGGAGGCACCAAACATTTGTGGAATAAACACAGACCTGCTGTTATCAAACTCTAAAGAGCTAGACCACATGTCTAAAATGTTTTTGAGCAGCTGTATCAATCCTAATGATGTTGTCAGAGTCTCGTATTGTAAAGAAAAGGGCCAAAAGGTGTAAGTTGAACAATCTTCCCTGTGGAATTATTTGTATTACAAAACAGAGTGTAACAGGGACCCAAGCTATAATTGTGTACCATATTGTGATGTCAGGAAATTGTATATAGAAATACATACTCTCAATTAATTATTGACGATAAGATTGGTTTCCAGGGCTATAGTGTCTAGAGATATCCAGAAATGTTAGTGTGTCCAGTGCTTTTTCATCTGTGTTCATGAATGGTCATAGATTATCTGCTTCGGGGTAAACATATCCTACATGTTCTCATTCAGTCGTAAAGAAACATCATGAATTGCAAGTGATAAAGAGGTTCTAACTATAGTGGACATTTAGGTTGGAAAGCTGCAATAGATGTCAATTAGATAACATAGAGAAATTAACCCATGTGCCCATGACAGGTGACAACCTGCCTTTAGGTGGGTGTTTTAAACTTATAATCTTAGATGATGAGGTGGGAGATATCATTATATTGTCAATAATCAATAAAATATCCTACTCACAGACTGGCTGATCTACAGACTGCGGTGGAATTCCGAGACTAATCAAGATTGTGACAGCTTCAGCTATTGCTCAGGAATGTAACTCCCACCATTCTATGGGATACTAGAAAATGTATAACCCAGTTCTTTACAAATTATTTTTAATGAACAAGTTTTTTGTAAAAAAACAAAACAATATTAAACAGAAATATAGCAATGAAAAACAATGTAACAATGTAAATATATATATATATAAAATAAATAGGGGGTAGGGGTTTCCATACATACATATATGTAATTAAATGATAAAATTTAAGTAAAACAATATAAAGTACAGAGTATAATAGATATAACCCAGTTCTGTCATGCATTTAAAGGAATTTTATATTCCTAACCCTAGTCTCAGCAGTCAGCACTAATCCTATGTTTAATAAAATAGGAAATATAAAACACATATGGGGTTATTCACCATAAACTGCATTTTTTTCCCATATTGATACAATCCAGTGAAAATTGCCAAATTCTAACTGCAAAGGCAGTTCTCATATTTACTAAAGCCAAATCCAGTCAGAATTCAGTCTGCCCGAGTGCAGCAAGCACTCAGTGTCCAGATTAGAATTAGTTCTTTAACATATGAATCCTGTACAAAGTATATCATTTAGAAATCTTCCTAAATGTTCACAGGAACGGTGCAGCCCTCGAGAAATCTTGAAGGCGATCTGCTGAAGACTTACGTCCATCTTCTGTCCGTACTCCCACCTTTGATGCTCGCCTTTAAGATTTCTCGAGGGCTGCACCGTTCCTGTGGAATTCATTTCCCTCCTCCGTTAGTTGCTCACCCAGTCTCCACTCCTTCAAAAAATCATTAAAAACCCACTTCTTCATAAAAGCGTATCAATTAAACTGTCAATAGTTCCCAACTGATTCCTCTTCTGCAACTGTCACTAGTCTAATACTATCCTTACCTTTTGTGTCATTTTACCCCA